GAAGCGTTTGGCCTAGTAGATTGTATATCAGTATACCCTTCCAGGCTCTGAAGAAGGCGATACTGCCGAAACGTCATTTAGCCTTGTATTGTATTGTGTCTTTATGGAAGTAAATGTATGCTGTTTAAAAACCTCACGATTGCTGAACAACAAAACGACACATCGCAAAGTCTTTTCAGTGCCTCACTGAGAGAGCACCTAATGGCACTCTTAAAAGAATGCTTGAGCTCCTCATTCTTCAGATGGTCTGGAAAGTACTATGCTCAAATAAGAGGGTTGGCAATGGGAGAACGACTGGCTGCAAGCCTTGCCATTGAATTTATATCTAAGGTGGAAGCACCGGTGACTGATCTCGGGCCGCTACTCTACTGTAGGTATGTAGACGACTGCTTTGTCCTTTGCTCAACACAAGAGGAAATGGTCAAATGCTTCGAATTGTTAAACGCACAGTCAGAGTATATCAAGTTCACCCGAGAAAAGCCGAAAGAAAAATGGCTTCCATTTTTGAACGTACAAATTCACCTATCAGAAAATGGCTACATTACAAAGTGGTACCGAAAGCCAAGTAGTAAAATTATCTTGGTTTATTACCTCTTTTCTCACCCCTCTCACACGAAAAGGGCGCTTGTAAGAAACATGTTTCGAACAGCAACCAACGTGTGCACGGGAAGAGAGCAGAGAGAGGAGTCCCGGAACTTGGCACGGCAAATAGCCGTTTCTAATGGCTACGAAACTGTAGCTCAAGATAGGTGTAGAGGAAATCCTAGGTCTCCAAACGACAACTCTAGCGATAAAAGGATCTCGTTTATCCTACCCTTCATCTCAAATGATATAGGTACAGCTATAAAACGCTGCTTAAGAAGAGCGGGTTTAGAGAATTCGGTAAACGTAGTTGAAATACCACCGAGTAAACCTAAGCGCCAGCTAGTTCGTAACCGCCTATATGACCGTCTATGTGCAAATCAAAATTGCTTAATTTGCCCCAGTGGTAGAGATGGTGATTGCATGAGCTCGGGTATAGTTTATCTGATCTCCTGTAAGACGTGCGGTGACGAATACATTTACGAAACAGGCAGACCCCTCTGTGTCCGCATAGAAGAACACCTAGCCGGCAAACATAGACCAAATACCTCGCTGGGCACGCATAGGACCCAGAGACATAACGGGGAGACTTTTAAGTATGTGTCACGATCCTCGCACGCGAATCAAGAACACAGGCTCAAAAAACTCTCGAGGCATTCTGGATTAATTCCAGAAATCCGAAAATGAACCACAGGGAAGAATGCCTCATTATCACGCGTGATATAGGGCAGTATATAAACCTTTTATTCTGATGGTAGGGACATATTATGCTTCCATGTGATTTCTGTGCGGTTGGTCTCTACGCGACATACTTAGTGGAAAACTCATAAAAAGCGGTGTGTGTCTAAAGCTGGGTTNAGACCCCTCTGTGTCCGCATAAAAGAACCCCTAGCCGGCAAACATAGACCAAATACCTCGCTGGGCACGCATAGGACCCAGAGACATAACGGGGAGACTTTTAAGTATGTGTACGTATGTATGTACGATCCTCGCACGCGAATCAAGAACACAGGCTCAAAAAACTCTCGAGGCATTCTGGATTAATTCCAGAAATCCGAAAATGAACCACAGGGAAGAATGCCTCATTATCACGCGTGATATAGGGCAGTATATAAACCTGTTGTTCTGATGGTAGGGATACATTATGCTTCCATGTGATTTCTGTGCGGTTGGTCTCTACGCGACATACTTAGTGGAAACCTCATAAAAAGCGGTGTGTGTCTAAAGCTGGGTTCAATGTGATTGAAATCTTGGTTTAGAGTTTCTTTGTTTGGTTATGGATTCGTCTGGGCGAGTAAATTGCTATCAACTTGACCTTTCCAGGCTCTGAGGAACGCGAAATCGCCGAAACGTCAGCTTATTTGTGAATAAAAAATAATAACACCTCGCGTTTGCTCAACAAAAATACGAAGAATTACAATATATCCAGTTATCATATAAAGAATGAAGGATGAATGTCTCGGTATTGATCAATCTCTGAAGGATGTGTAATGCATTCAACTTCACTAAGCAACGCCAGAGGTGATTGGAAGGCCTTTACAATGACTCGCGGTCGCCTACTGATGTATCAGATTAGAGCTGCTATCCCCCAGAGAGGTCTGGGTATCAATTTGCCAACCCCAGAGGGATGGAAGGTTTGGTGATCCAGTGGCGCGGGATCGAGCTCATGTGCAATGCAGGGCAGTTTTATCAAGTGCGTGCGCTACACGTACCCTAAAAGCAGATAAATACATGTATAATAATGTGGGCATACAAACGTATTTATTTTTTTACCTATATCAACTTTTGCCATAGTGACCAAGCCTAAAATACAGTCCTAGAGAGCAGGTAGCACAATGGTGGTGGCGGGGTCTGTCACGATCGCGGTGCTGACTTAACCCGCATTCGGCTCACTAATCTTGTCATCCCTATGGTGCGGGGGAATTGGTGCCAAATTTGTCCATTATCAGCTAACTCTCCAGAATCAAGGTGGAAGCATTCTAGCACGGCTATGTGAGGACTCCAGGGAAAATCGACTCCATCAGTATTCAACAACATTCATAAAGAACACGACAATCCAGAAGAAGCAATCGGAGCCGCACGCAGTAAATTCGAAGACATTTTTCAGTGATGCATGTGAGCGAACGAGTCGAGAGAAAGAATTGATGAAATCCGCATCGTTGATGTGATGGTAGATCACATAAATAGATGAATAATAAATAAAATGCAATTTTTGCTACTCGTTCATTAATGACCGCTCTACTGTGAATACATGGATAATTATTTTGCTTTCACACAGGGCAAGGAGGAAAAATGTTCTATATTAGAAGACAAACAGTTAGAGAACATTCATCCAAGAGCAACCAAAATGGAACTAGTTTACAATTTCTTAACATTTATATGACGCTTTCTAGAAATGGCTTCCTGGAAAAGTGGTGAAGAGACCAAGAAACAAAAACATATTCGTCCAACAACTCTTTGCCCATCCTTGATATATGGGAAAGGATGTGGTGGGAAACGTACATTGGCAATACTGTGTGTACATGAGGAAAGGAAATACACATAACTTGTTTGCAACAAATGGCCTTCTGCCAATAGAACCATGATAACTCCGGCTAGGTTGAAAGAAGAATTCATGCTTAACTGGCGCTTCCACTCTGTTATTAAGCGACCTGAAAATCATTTTTTCCAGGAAAATTGTTAACAATGGTTCAAGTGCTATCAGATTTTGTAAGACGTCAATTAGTTGAAAAGTGTCTTAATGATTCACCAAGTCTGTGAAACACAACAAGAATGAATTGTCTGATAAGTGGAGACATAAATTGGAAGAATAGGAGAGCACGCCTTATTTGCCAGGTGTTCGATAAAAAATACGTTTAAAAACAGATAAAACGCCTTGTTCTCGCTTGAAAATAAAATCTACGAGGAGCCTAAAAGCTCGACAAAGTGGTGCACTGCGTAAACATAGAAGCGAAAGCATCACTGTGAGATCTCAAATTTAAAATCACGATCTTAGCATAAAAACCTAACGGACCAGCTCGACCCGTCTTGAAAAGATTTCAAAAAACCCACAAATTTTAGCCACAGTGATGCCGAGATATTTCCAAACCCAAGGCCAGATTCGAGCTAGCGACTACACTTTCTAGTACTCGGCGCAAGGGTGATCGCGGGTTCGAATCTGTACTTGAGCCTGAGTCTTGCAAATATCCAGGCATGATCATAGCTGCATTTCACATAATACCATGCCATGCAAAATATTAAGTAGTAAATAAAAAATTTTACATCCTGATTTCGACTACAGCCACAACTTAAATGGCTTCGATGACAGAATTCACATGGAAGCGTAATGTGCTCCTCCCATCAGAATAACAGTCTTATATACTGCCCAATATCGCACGTGATAATGAGGCACTCTTCCCTGCGGAGTCAGGCTACAATAGGCGGAGTCGAGTTACAGTAGGTGGAGTGGGGTTACAGTAGGTGGAGTCAGGCATACAGTATGCGGAAGGACGGCTGCTGGAAACATTTCACAAGCGTTGCAATCTGATAAGGCGATAGTCAAAGCATAGGACTGTAACTGCAGATGTTTTTCATGAGATAACCGCCAGCGAAATGTTAGCCATGTTGTTATCGGTTCATCATAAAGTCACCGGAATCCGTATTCGAAATGTTTGACATAAGGTTATCAGATCGTCATAGAGAAGAGGTTACCGGAAACAGTATTTGAAATGTTAGACATAAGGTTATAATTGATTTACATAGAAAACATTCCAATATTCGTGAAGAATGTTCTCTATAGAGCGCCTCTTTTACACGATCCCTTCTAACGTCTATTTCGTCCAACGTTCACTACAGCACTCAACTTCCAATGGCGATAATCTATACCATTGAACATGTTCATTGCCAACAGACAACAGCAAAGAAGTTCTTCAGAAGCACACTCAAAAGTCGCAAAATAGCGAAGAGGTGCTCTCTGTATAAGTGTCACTAACAAGACCGAACACAGTTCACAGTTCTAGCCCTTGGATAACACTTCGCAAACAGTCTAAACGGAAAGGGTCTACATTGTGCCAATAAACTCTCTGCTTAGCATGAGTTAACCAACTTTAAGCAGCGTAACTGTACACTTCCACAAATTGCGGACCTGCAACAACCACTTAATAGCTAGATTGCTTGTTTTTCATGTCTGTGAAGACCACCATACACCGTCAGTGTTTGAGTTATCGAGTTACATCTCTCTCACTATAACTCTCACTACAGACAGTAGATACCATTAAAGCATCGCTTTACTTTTAACAACAGCAAATAATTTATTTCACGAACAAATAAAAATGTGCTCGTATTCTACCACTTGTGGCCCTAAAGAGATGTTGGGTTAATAGTAGGCGAAGATTGCACGTAGCCGCTTGTGTTCGTTTTTCTCGAATGAGACGAGCCAGTTATATGTCCTCGTGTATGACTCTGAGGCATTTAGCAAGGATTGCACACAAGTTCGTGTCCTCAAGCAGTCCATCCAGATTAAGTTCTACGGCTTCTTGAACAGCCATTACTGCCGACGACTCAGAACGCAAGTCCGCCTTGAAGTTATGTGCGATCTTTCGCACAGGACATTGGAATGGCAAATTGCAAATCAGTGACTCCATCGATTTCTGGTAGCGACGAATCTCCCGTAGGGCTACGCTTCCAGGACCATAGCTATGAGGTTTCTCCATACCACCGATAACCGACGCACTGATCTTCGAGCGGCCATCGTGCCTAACTCCTTACGTGGCGCCACCTCCTAGTCGACCTGCTAGCGGTTTGCTTCTTACGAGCCATATCCGATCGATAGGCCGCAAGCGATACTGGGGCGCTCTCCATCGCTACTCCTGCATCCTCATGGCTAGAGGCGACGCCTTTTTGCTGCGATCACGTCATCTGCAGATTCATCTGCAAATTCGCGCTACAATGCGTCGCTTTTGCATGGTTGGCAAAGTTAAGACGATTTGAGAGCAGAGCGATAGAGACAGACAGAGAAAAAGGAACCAATGCTAGTCCGCACTCCGTTCAAATGCGGCACAGCGTCGACTGAACAGAAAGCGATGCCGATCTATACAATTCTAAAGGATGGAAGGTAAAGCTCTCGGTGTTGACCAGCCTGAGGGATGTGCCACGCATTCAACCTCAAGCATCGTTATCGATGACTGAGTGCACATCTTGTTTGTACAACGGAGGTCTCCCATTGTAATTCTTTCTATTTCTGTTCAGATAACGCGAGGTGTTATTTTTTTTATTTACGTACAAGATGACTCTTCGGCGGAATTCGCCTTCCTCAGAGCCTGGAAAGGTCAGGTTGACTGCAATCTACATGGCCGAAAACCTCCGTAACCAAGCAGAGAAATGCTGAACCAAAATTTCAATCACGTTGAACACAAAGTCTTTGCACACTCACCGCTTTCTATGAGTCTTCCACTAAATATGTCACGTGGAGGCCAACCGCACAGAGTTCACATGGAATCGTATTGTGTCCATCTCATCAAAATAACCGGCTTATATACTGCCCAATATCATGCATGATAATGAGGCATTCCTCACTGCGGTTCATTTTCGGATTCTTGGAATTAATCCAGAATGCCTCTAAGGTTTTGCATTCTTGTGTTCTCGATTCTGGTACGAGGATCGTAACCCCTACTTCAAGATCTTCTCCGTTATGCCTCTGCGTTCTATGCGTGCCTAGTGGAGTATTTGGTTTACATTTACTGTCTAGGTGTTCTTTTATATGCACGCAGATTGGTCCACCCGTTTTGCCTCGCCAACGTATTCGCCCCCACACGCTTTGCAAGAAACCAGATAGACTGTACCCGAACTCATGCAGTCACCGCTTCTACTATTGGGGCAAATTAGGCAATTTTGCGTTGCACATAGACGGTCGTATAGGCGGTTACGAACTAGCTGGCGCCTTAGAATATTCGGTGGTATTTCGATTATCGTTACCGAATTCTCTAGACCGCCCCTTCTTAAACAGCGTTTTATGGCTGCACTTACCTTATTCGAAATGAAGGGCAGTATAAATGGGACCTAATTGCCGCTAGAGTTGGGGTACCTATGGCTTCCTCTACACCTATCTCGAGCTACAGTTTCGTAACCATTAAAAATGGCTATTTGTCGCGCCAAGTACCGGGACTTCTCTCTCTCTGTTGTCTCTCTGTGCATGCGCTGGTAGTTGTTCGAAACATGTTTCTCACAAGCGCCGTTTTCGTGTGAGAGGGGTGTGAGAAGAGGTAATGAACCAAGATGTTTTACTACTTAGTTTTCGATACCATTTCGTAATGAAGCCGTTTTCCGATAGCTTAATTTGCACATTCAGAAATGGAAGCCAGTTTTTTTTGGTTTCTCTCGGGTGAATTTAATATACTCTGACTGTTCGTTCAACAACTCGAAACATCTGTAAATTTTTTCTTGTGTCGTATTCCTTTTGTCGCTCGACATCTTTTATTTTACTCTGCTGTCGTTTAATGTTCATACATTCAATGTTCCCTCATCTAGTAGCGCTCTTAAANATGTTTCTCACAAGCGCCCTTTTCGTGTGAGAGGGGTGTGAGAAGAGGTAATGAACCAAGATGTTTTACTACTTAGTTTTCGATACCATTTCGTAATGTAGCCGTTTTCCGATAGCTTAATTTGCACATTCAGAAATGGAAGCCAGTTTTTTTTGGTTTCTCTCGGGTGAATTTAATATACTCTGACTGTTCGTTCAACAACTCGAAACATCTGTAAATTTTTTTTTGTGTCGTATTCCCTTTGTCGCTCGACATCTTTTATTTTACTCTGCTGTCGTTTAATGTTCATACATTCAATGTTCCCTCATCTAGTAGCGCTCTTAAACTAGTAACTCTTAAACACATTCACTCAAACATCGTTATTGATTGTAATTTCATCACCACTCCCAACGGTTTACCACCTCATCGTGGCCGAGAGGTGCTCTTGGGTGTCGGACTGCGATGCACGGAGGGGGATCTATCTCTCACAGGGTCTCCCACACTGAGGAGACCGGCGTTTCCATCAGGAAGAATACCTGAGAATAAACCAATGCCGGGATCCACCACCGTACTGATATCAAATTCGCATATTGGCAAATCTCTTTCTGATCCACAAGGGCTGCGACCGCCCTTGGTGGTGAAGACCTGGAGCTTTGGTTTGGGCTTTTTTTTTTGGCCAGGCTGATCTCAGGATTCCAGAGAACCACAATGGATTAACCAGCAAATCTCCGAAAAATGGTAATTATGCTGGGGTCCCGCACAACTAGTGAGGACGGGCCGTTCAAGCATTAAGTATAAATCTCATCACCATGTACGTCTTTCCTTTAGCAGACATTTCCTTTCCTACCGCTTGATGTCATTCATTCGCCCTTTTTTTTAAGCATATTTAGATTAAATAGCAATCGATTTGGTTATGTGCTGTCAGGTCTGCATAAATCCTAGTTTCCATAGAGAATGAACGAACGCCTAAGCGTCATAATTTTCCAAAGCAAGTGAAAGAGAATTATTGCTTTTGCAAGCATTACTGAATTTCAAGCACCCTTAATCTTGTAATAAAACGGACCATTTAATATTTCGCAAAACAGACATTTTAATGGCAATCTGACATTTCGAATTGGCTGTTCGCAGATGACTGTAGGTGGTGGGAGGTTTGTGGCTCCGAACTGCTACCACCTGTTCCACAAAGTGGCGTAGTAAAGTCGTTTTTGTGGTTTGCCTGTAACACATCAGCGTACTGCGCAACACTTTTATGTTTTAATAAATTCTATCAAGTTCCAGACAGTAATGGATTCGTAATGATGCTGTGCTTGCAAAACTCCGGACAACAGGCTTTGAATAGTCGGCTGGAAATCATGCAATTTTCAAGCTATCTATAGAAGAAAATAACAAGATGTCCCGTTAGTTTTTTTTCTCATTCCACATCTTCAGTTTGTTTTACATGTTTGGTTGATCTTGTCTTATACCATTGCAACTCATAGGAAGAGGTATTTACTTAGATATGTGGCACCATCTGTCATCAAGAGTATTACGACCTCCAGAAGCCTCCCTATTCGTTTCTTAGCCTCGCCCTCGTCGGTTATCGTGGTGGTTGGCTTCGAGTGTGATGAATTCTGCGTGTATTTCTGTAAAGCGTCTGTAAGTGCTAACGTCGCTGACTGGTTTTAGCTAAAAACACATTGTGTAGATCGTGTAAACGGTTCTCCTAGAAGTCTTTTGGGATTCAGTGTGCAGTTTTTGCCGCCTGTCTGCTTATATGTCTTCTATTCTTATCGTATGACCGATACAGCTGTGCATCGCCAAGGATTTGTAGTGTTCCGCGTCCCAAGACTACATAGGTTTCAAGATCTGAGCTACGCAGTCTGACTAAACCTTTTGTGTGCTGGCTACATTCCAAAAAAATATTGTCCACGTGTTCTGTGGATGGTGGACGACATTTTCGACATGGGTAAAATATCACACAACGTAGGCTATGCACATGAACCCTGGGACAACCGTTGAGTAAAAAGGAGTGCGCAGTGCTTCAGGCCTCGGCACCGGCTTCATCCCATCTTGAA